GTTTTGTTTTTGTTCGAAAAATTCCTTGAAACGCAAGTTTATTTCGTGTTCCGTGACAGTGAATAAGTACTGCCAAACACAGCCTGGTCACATATCGAAAACGACAGCCATAGAACAGGACTCGTATCGTCTTTCGAAAATTCAAGCACAACGAGCCAAGTGTTTCCGAAAAGTGCTCGCAGATCTCGCCTCAATCCACCCCTTGGACACAAGGGCTCGTCAGCAGTTTTACTCGTCAATTCGTCGCGTATTTTTGGCCGAAAGCGACGACAAACGTCATTTTCAGTTATGGGCAGAAGTTGCAGAAAAACTCATTGCCTTGGCGGAAACGGAAACCGCGTGGATTAGCAAGGCAGTTGATCACACGGCCCAGATTGCGAAACAATTTCAGCACAGGCCTTGTTCCGAGGCATTAGTTTGGGAAAAGGTCAAGGCTCTGGAAGAACAGCTGGGTGACTTGCGACGATTGACTGGAAATAAAACTAAGGTAAACAAATGCACGAAGAAATGTTTAAAAAACAAAATTTAATGATACAGTTTTACCGATAATTTTAAACGCTATGATTTTAAATCTGAACGTTTCTGCTGCGCGGTATTTTTTTTTCTCCATTAACACGTTGAAATAAAATCTAATCACGTTGAAGATCTCCAAAATTCGCCCTCAACCTAATACTGTATTCCCTCTCTGACAGCCTTGTTTTAATTGAGGATAATTTTCAGGCATATCGTTAAATGAACTGATGAAATTATTCAAGATTGAAACATTTGGCAGCTTTTTCAAAGCTCCATTTAAAAATTATATAATTTAGCGATATCGATTGCGAGATTGAAGTATGCAATATTTTCAAGAGACATGAAGTAACTATTGATTCACAATTTTATACTGTGTTGATCATTGTGATTAATTGGGATTCATAGTACAATACTGTATGCAAAAATCGGTATTATTTTTTCCTTAATTATTCTGCTCGAGATTTTTGCACATGGTGAATCCTTGTTATAAATAATCTTGAATGGCTGAAGATTGCAGTTATAATCCTTTAAATATTACTCGAGGAAATGAGGTACTGTAATTCTGAAGTGGAAAACTTAGAATATTGAACTTTCTTTCAATATACTGCGTTATAGTTCCTGATGTGCAAGCTTTTTTTAAATCTTGAATCTTCAATCGTTCAACTAACAATTTGCATATATGAATCCTTTTTTTTATAGCCACTCGAGTTTATTTCAGATTTGTGTTTTATAATAAGGCATGAAATGATAACGGCATTTTCCGTAACTGAAGTTTGCCGCGTTTCGAGGTTCAATAATTTACTGAATATTTGAAGAAAAATGCGTTTTCTTTTTGCCTTTCTCCAATAACGGATCAACGCGCTTATTTTCTCAACACTTGTACAATTCCAGTCCTCTCAAGCCGAGTTTTTCTTCTCGGTTTACATTTTGATCTTCTTTTTTTTTTTACTTTGCGTCAAATTCCTTGCTTATTCAAGAATAGTTGATATCAGGATAAGATTCGCCGACCGGAGGTTAAATATTTATTCTCGCGAAAGCCAAGCGCGTCGTATGGCGTGAATAAGCGAATGAACGTATCCCTCAACAGCATTTCGGGTTCGAATATAACAAATCCTGGTTCCCTCTGTACTGTACTGTGCCAGCAGAACCAGAACCAGGACCAGAACCTGAACGCAGTTGGCGACCCGTGGGAGGACCGTGTGCTGAAGTCGTGCGAACAGCGGGAAATCGCGCTGCTCCAGAACTTGGTAGCCGGGAAAACTCGCTCTCAGTCCTCGTCGGCCAGCAGTTGTGATCCTCGAGTTATTCTGGTGAGTGCATGAATGGATGTGGTGTGTGCAGTTATTGAAAAGTTATGGATTACTTTGTTATCCAGTGAGACCCCCAGATGTGGACATAATTGGTGCATCAAGAGTGTCCCGAAGTTGAGTCTTGTTTTCCTGTAGACTTACATTATATATAATTTTTAATTGGTGTTAGCAGAGAAATATTCTTCAGAATTCCATGAAACACATTTTGTTTGCCACTTGAATTTGATTCAGTGAATATCTTTTCAACCCAACAAGAACATCTGGAGCATTGAATAGTATACCACTGTACAGTTAATTGAAATGTTGGCGTCTGTAAAAATAACACCCGAGTCACAAAAAGAGAAGGAAGTCCCTCTGTGCTAAGAGTAAATTTTTTAATTAGCTGAATGGATGGGAAAGACATGGGAGAAGTACCAAAGAATTTTTCTTACATAGATCTTAGGGCTGGAAATATCTGTTTCTTGCAATTAAGCCTAACAGAAGTCAATTTTCCTGAAATTGATTGGCAATTTTATCATGCTATGTCCTCATGTTGTGTCCCTTTGTTGGGCCTTTTTCATGATTTTTATTGAAAAATAAATGTCTCTATGTTGAATTGTCCGGATGTTGATGTGTCTGCATGTGGGGGTCTCAGTGTATATGCACAGATTATATATGCATGTGTCAAACTTGTAAAGTATGAATACATTGGTTTATTCCAGTGTTCCCCAATCTTTTTGGGTCTGACAACCAGCAAATTTCCATAACATTTGTTTGCAGACTTGCACATTTCCACAATAACGTTTTGAGGACATCTTTCATAAAATGGCAAATTTCCATGAAATATTTGCAGACTCAGAAAAGTTTTGCTTGCAAGACTCTATGACAGGCATTTCAAAAGTGTCTTCTTCTTTGAAAAAATTAAGAACCAATCATAAAGAAGCTATAAAGTGGAATGTCTTTTTTTAATAGATAGGTTGGCTTGAAGAAAGGTTTCTCAGAATGAAAAACACAGAGGGAATTATTTCAGCNAGAAGTTGCAGAAAAACTCATTGCCTTGGCGGAAACGGAAACCGCGTGGATTAGCAAGGCAGTTGATCACACGGCCCAGATTGCGAAACAATTTCAGCACAGGCCTTGTTCCGAGGCATTAGTTTGGGAAAAGGTCAAGGCTCTGGAAGAACAGCTGGGTGACTTGCGACGATTGACTGGAAATAAAACTAAGGTAAACAAATGCACGAAGAAATGTTTAAAAAACAAAATTTAATGATACAGTTTTACCGATAATTTTAAACGCTATGATTTTAAATCTGAACGTTTCTGCTGCGCGGTATTTTTTTTTCTCCATTAACACGTTGAAATAAAATCTAATCACGTTGAAGATCTCCAAAATTCGCCCTCAACCTAATACTGTATTCCCTCTCTGACAGCCTTGTTTTAATTGAGGATAATTTTCAGGCATATCGTTAAATGAACTGATGAAATTATTCAAGATTGAAACATTTGGCAGCTTTTTCAAAGCTCCATTTAAAAATTATATAATTTAGCGATATCGATTGCGAGATTGAAGTATGCAATATTTTCAAGAGACATGAAGTAACTATTGATTCACAATTTTATACTGTGTTGATCATTGTGATTAATTGGGATTCATAGTACAATACTGTATGCAAAAATCGGTATTATTTTTTCCTTAATTATTCTGCTCGAGATTTTTGCACATGGTGAATCCTTGTTATAAATAATCTTGAATGGCTGAAGATTGCAGTTATAATCCTTTAAATATTACTCGAGGAAATGAGGTACTGTAATTCTGAAGTGGAAAACTTAGAATATTGAACTTTCTTTCAATATACTGCGTTATAGTTCCTGATGTGCAAGCTTTTTTTAAATCTTGAATCTTCAATCGTTCAACTAACAATTTGCATATATGAATCCTTTTTTTTATAGCCACTCGAGTTTATTTCAGATTTGTGTTTTATAATAAGGCATGAAATGATAACGGCATTTTCCGTAACTGAAGTTTGCCGCGTTTCGAGGTTCAATAATTTACTGAATATTTGAAGAAAAATGCGTTTTCTTTTTGCCTTTCTCCAATAACGGATCAACGCGCTTATTTTCTCAACACTTGTACAATTCCAGTCCTCTCAAGCCGAGTTTTTCTTCTCGGTTTACATTTTGATCTTCTTTTTTTTTTTACTTTGCGTCAAATTCCTTGCTTATTCAAGAATAGTTGATATCAGGATAAGATTCGCCGACCGGAGGTTAAATATTTATTCTCGCGAAAGCCAAGCGCGTCGTATGGCGTGAATAAGCGAATGAACGTATCCCTCAACAGCATTTCGGGTTCGAATATAACAAATCCTGGTTCCCTCTGTACTGTACTGTGCCAGCAGAACCAGAACCAGGACCAGAACCTGAACGCAGTTGGCGACCCGTGGGAGGACCGTGTGCTGAAGTCGTGCGAACAGCGGGAAATCGCGCTGCTCCAGAACTTGGTAGCCGGGAAAACTCGCTCTCAGTCCTCGTC